GTGTTGACCCCCCCACTGACCCCCTGTGTTCCCCCCGTCCCCAGGATGTACAACAGGCGGAGAGAGAGCAGGAGCTGGGGCTGGAGGGAGAGTCTCTCCTGGACAAGGCCAAACAGTCCCTGGAGGAGCTGCGACTGAGCGACGCCGAGCGACAGTACCTGGCCGCCATAGCCCGCCTGGCAGATGGGGACGCGGGCAAGTCTATGGTGGAGGCATACCTGGGCCTGGCGGAAGTGTGCACGCGCAAGTCTCGGGGATTCCGACAGAGCCCGCTAGAATGGTTCTGGCTGTGTGTGCACGCGTCCAGTCTGCTGGGCCAGGTGGTGGAGATGTGTGAGGGCGAGCTGGCCACGGAGACAGACAACCAGAGGAGAGACTGGTACACCGCTCAGGCCAAGTTTGCAGAGTCTCGCGCCCAGTCGCTGGTGGACGTCATGGGCCGCACGCTGTTTAACTGGCAGAAGGAAGACTGGAGGCAAGTAGACCCCCACCACCTGGCCAACCTGCTCCACGCACGCTCGCCACTCACACCCCGCTCGCGCTTCCCACTCTCCACGGGACTGACCCCCGGCCCTCGCCCCTACCAGACGGGCTACATGAACCACGCATTCAGCATCGAGAGTCTCCACGAACCTCCCATGATGAAGGGAGGCGGCCACTTTGCCGTGGGGGGCGGCCCCGCCAACTGGTTCCGCAGAATTGTCCACTACTGTCGCCTGAGGCTGTGGAACCGTAACGTGAAGGAGATCACCAACGAGATCTGTACGGTGAAAGAGACTGAGACCGGGGCCTCTCCCATTGACCCAAAGATGGACATCGACACCATCTCAGAGGAGACAGACATGGAGCTGGCCAAGGAGCAACTTCTGCTCAACGACAAGGGAGAGAAACACCTAATTGAACACCAGGAGGAGGAGGAAGTGTTCTCGGAGGAGACGTTTGACATGGCCAGCATCAACGAGAAGTCTCGCACAGACTCGCTGGTCAAGGAGTACTCCCTCATGTACGAGCTGGCCTCCAGCGACGTGGACACGAGTGGCTGGGAGTTCTTCCTGGAGCGTCGCAAGGACTGCCTGGTGGGCTCTGTGCTGGAGGTGGTGGGGGGAGGGGGGGGCGAGGAGGACAAGTCTGGGGGGAGTAGTGGCGCCGACGACAACAGTCGTGTGACCAGTGGAGACGAGATGGAAGTGACCATCGTAGAGACACTGGATGTGGCACCGGGACACAGCGGTCACTCACGGGCCGGGGGAAGTCCTGAGCCCATGGAGGAGGGAGAGAAGGAGGAGGAGGAGAAGGAGAAGATGAGTCCCCTGGAGGAGAAAGAGCTGCGTCTGACAGTGGCCAAGGCGTACCTGGTGGTGGTTCAGAAGTTGATGGAGGGGGAGGAGCTGGGCACGGCGGAGACTCTGGCCGAGGAAGTCCTGCAGATAGTGGAGGACATCCAGGACGGGACGGTCAAGATCCTGCGCTTCCACGGCCTGCTGCTTCAGAGCGTCGGGCTGCTGTGTTTCCGCCAGGGAAACCGCCACAATGGCATGAAGAACCTGGACAAGTCGCTGGCCATCTACCGAGACCTGCAGGACCGCGACGCACGCCGCCAGGTGGCACTGATACTCATTGACCTTGGCAACGCGTACGCCAACGACCTCCACGACGAGGCTCTGTACGACCGGGTCATCGCTGCCATCTGTGAGTTCTTTGAGCGCGAGGCGTCGGACGAGGAGAACACAGGGGGCAGCACCACGCCGGACAAGTCCAGCATCCCGGAGGCCCAGGAAGATATGGAGCAGAAGAAGAGGATCGCTGAAGCTGTCAGCTGCTACACAGAGGCGCTGTCGGTGCTGGAGGAAGAGGAACAGTCGCAGAGACAGGTGCTGGCCATGGCCATGAGGAAACTGGGAGATTGCCACTTTGTACAGAAGGAGTACACTGAGGCGCTGGACTGGTACGAAAAGTCGCTCAAACTCCATCGCACGTCAGGTTTCCATGGCAAGGAGTCCATGCTGGAGAACGCGCACGTGCTGAGTATGCTTGGCGTGTCCACCTTCATGCTGCACGTGTACCCGCGCGCGTCGCACGTGTTTGAGCTGGCACTGCACATGGTGAAGCACGCGCATGGCCTGCAGCTGTACACCTTCCTACACAGCCTGGTGCTCTCCCTGCTGGGAATCTCCTACTACAAGATGAAGGCCTACCACAAGTGTGTGTCCATGTGCTCGCGAGCCTTCGAGACCTTCTGGAACCTGTACGACGAGAAGATTGCGGACCTGCCCCAGCACAAGTTCTGGCTGGTGTGTCAGAACCTGTACATCCTGGGCAACACGTACAACGTGCTGAGTCTGCACCACAAGGCCGTCAAGTTCCTCGAGATCGGCCGCGCCTTCATGCGTGAGTCGGCCGTGGGGGAGAAGAGGCAGCACATGCGCATCCTGCAGATACTGGGGGACTGTTACTTCGCTCAGTACGACTACAAGACAGCGCTCACCTACTACAACGAGGCGCTGGATATAGGGGATAAGGTGAGGAGGGGGGAGGGAGGGGATAAGGTGAGGAGGG